TTTACATTGGAATGTCTTCAGTTCATGGATTTTGCTAGACCAATGCTTAAATACAGTTCCGCTGTCTGGAATCCTCACTATATATCAGACGTTAATACAATTGAGCGAGTCCAGAAGTATTTTACAAAAAGAGTACTACACTCCTCTGTTCGCAATAGAATAACCTGCACCACCAGATTTGAGATTCTAGGTTTAGACAACCTTGAACTACACCAGCTAAGATTGGATTTAAGCATAGTACATAAAATTATCTGTTTCAATGTTTTACCAGTTAATGAATATTTCAGCTTTAACCACAACAACACAAGAGCACACAACAGATATAAACTAAATGTAAACCACTCCAAATTTGATTGTAGGAAGTACGATTTCAGCAACAGAGTGGTCAATGTCTGGACCTCACTACCTGATTCTGTTGTCACCTGCTCAAACCCCCACTCCTTTACCCTCAAACTAACCTCTATTGACCTCACCCCATTCCTAAGAGGTCTGTAAGAGGCATGCATAAGCGCACAATCATGCTACCTTCCCTGTCCTATTGTCCTGAATTATTCATACCTATTTCATATATTTATCCTTATGTTTATTCTTATTTCTATTAAATTGTAAGCGTTTGACCAAATAAATAAATAAGTAAAAAATAAAATGTTTATGTGATGTGTGTTGGGATGGTTCTTAGCCAGCTGTTTTTGTGTGTGACCTTACTGATATATATCTCTGGGCAGTAGAGGTCATACTTATTTTGTGGTTTTTGCCCTTCCTGCGTCTAAAATGTGAGATTGGAGTCTTGTATTTTCCCACAGAAATACGAGTTACATTCCTTATTCCATAACTAGTTCCCAATCACGTCAAAAATAGTGCACGTGCTATTTTTCGTCTGCACTGATTTTCATTAACTTGATGGGTTTGCATTGATGTGTTGTGACATGTGCCAATTACGATAAAAGAAACCTGGATCTCTGCCCCAGCTGGGATCTTAACGCTTAGCCAATTTGGCAGGATCTGTGCCATCTTACTGGCATTGACCAATCACCATCCTTGTTTAAAAAAAAATAACCCCTGGGTTTTTTTTTCATCCTCTTATTCTCTGTGGGATTAGGAAAACCATCCTTAATAAGACTCAAAAGATCCATCTTTGATTTTGCTTCATCCTTTCTTTCACTGTCAGCAATAATAGGAGTTGGCAGGCCAGGAACAGGCCAATTCATTTATTTATTTTTTAGCTTACTGTGTTTAAACTGGGAAATCAGCACATGAGTTATGTATGTTCCAGGCCCCTGAGGCTGCAGGGTGTGGCTTAGACAACTTTATGAGGATCTTCTGGAGTTTGTTTGCCTTGAGAAGATAAATGAACACTGTTCTTCTCTAATCCTACCAGATTCTAAGATGGCTGTGGGTTATGTAGTCGGCTTAGAGCAGAATAGGAAAAGGCTGCCCCCCCCCCCCCCCCGGCTTATGGATTGTCCTACACCTGAAAAGATATCTGCCCACGTTGAGATCCAGTCTTCCAATATTTGAGGGGCTGCCACAAAGAAGAGAGGGGTCAACTTATTTCCCGAAGCACTAGAAGGCAAGACAAGGAGCACTGGGTGGAAACTAATCAAGGAGAGAAGCAACCTAGAACTAAGGAGCGATTTCCTGACTGTGAGGACAATTAATCAGTGAAATGGCTCACCTTCAGAAGTTGTGGGTGGTCCATCAAGGAGAGACTGGACAGCCACTTGTCTGAAATGGCATAGGGACTTCTGTTTGAGCAGTGGGGTGGACTAGAAGACCAAATGTTATTTTGGTATCCCTCTAAACTGCCAATTAGTGATGCTACCAGATTTGAGGAAATGTTTGCACTAAGAAGTCTTCTGGGCCTTCACTTCTTTGTAAGCCCATTGTTTCCTTCCCAATATTGTCAACCAACTGAAGTTCCTTGCCGGTTGCAACCGTATGGTGAGGAACCCAAGAATAATGGGCTACCTTCTGCACAAGTGCGTCCAAGAAGTACCTTGGATAGCCATGGAAATTTGGGGCTCATGTGGTCATAAGTTGAGAACTGCCTGTGCTTTAAACCCAGGTGCTGAATTGAATCATTTTCCTATGGAATGCTATCCTTGTGAACTTAAATTATATCCACTAGGAGTCCTGGTGGCACAGCGGTTGAAGTGCAGTATTGCAGGAAAATTCTGCCCACAGTCTGGAGTTTGATTCTGACCGACTCAGAGTTAACTCAGCCTTCCATTCTTCTGAGGTTGATAAAATGAGGACCCAGATTGTGGGGGGCAATATGCAAATAATGCCTTTACATTGTAAATGGCTGCAAAATGCTATGGGGTGGTATCTAATCTTACATGCCAGACAGTATAAGGAGTATTGGGGTAAGCAATTGTCAAATAAGTTTGAGTTCAACTAGGATTTTGGCTGTGTCAGTGTTCCAGGGAACACACTCATAGCAAATAGAACTCCGAGGTAGGATGATTCCTCAAAAATAGTTTGTTTGGTATGTCAAATTGGCACAAACTGGGGAAAACTGACTGGATGTTTCCACGGTTTTCAGCTAATTAAAAGTAAAAGTTTTTATCCTTTCCAAAAAAATAAAAAAAATCCATCACATGGTCCAATGAAGGTGCCATCCGATTGCCTGGTAACTTCACTCTTCCTCTCTCCCACCACCTGTCCTTGGTTCCCAGGAGAAAGTTTTTTTGTTTGACAAATCGGTGGTGGGATTCAATTTTTTTTACTCTGGTTCTGTGGGCGTGGCGTGGCGGGTGTGGCAGGGAAAGGGTACTGTCAAATCTGCATTCCCTCGCCACTCCTGGGGGAAGGTTACTGCAAAATCCCCATTCCCTCCCCACCCCACTAACCTGCTTTCCAGCTCCGTTCTCCTATGCAGGGCAACCAAAGAAGACGCAACCAATCAGCTGGGACTCAATGGGAGGCAGAGAATAGATGGGGGGGGGCAGTCAGAGGAGGTATTTGCTGGTTCTCTGAACTACTCAAAATTTCCACTACCGGAACTGGTCAGAACCAGCTGAATACCACCTCTGTGACAAACCCCAGCTATCTCTATTCCCCACTCCCTATCCTTCAGCTCCAGTGTGGCAACACTGAAGCCTCAAAATGGCTTCGGTCAGGTCAGCTTCAGGGTTGACAGGCTGTTAGCATCCAACCATTTTGTCCATTCATTGATCCATCTCATTCATTAGTTTGTATTGTTACCTATGGCAATAGATTTGGAGGAATAGATGTAGAGATCCGACATATTCTGGTAAACGTAAATGCTGCCATATTTTAATTAAAGAAGAAAAAAACAACCACAGTATTGGACAATCAGGCTCATGATTTTTAGCTGGGCATGATTGTCTGCTGCTAAGGCAAAAATTGGGATGGATTCCATAGGTCAGGAGTAAACAATTTGATGTCCACCAGAAATGTGGAGCTTCTTAGCACCATATCACCATGCTTGTCGTGGCTGAGGAGTGTTGAGGTTAAAATATCTGAGGACATCCAATGACATAATTTGCATGCTTCAAGAGTCGATTCAGAGGGAGGTGTGCTCTCAAATAAGTAATTCAGAAAACGGATATATTCATGGGAGCTTAGATCATTCATTCTTCTGTGGCTTATCACAGGATATCATCTAGAACAGGGGTCTTCAACCTTGGCAACTTTAAGACTTGTGGACTTCAACTCCCAGAATTCCTCAGCCAGCAAAGTCTTAAAGTTGCTAAGGTTGGAGATCCCTGATCTAGAATATATCATATACCATACAAAAGTAATGAGTGAAAGCTTGTTAAAAAGAAATCCAATCTAGGAAAGGTGGGTTTTTTTTTGATAGGGAGAAAAATTGATCAGTGGAACAGCTTGCCTTCTACAGGTTGGGATGCTCCCATCACGGAGATTTTAAAAAAAAAAGTTTGGTCAACTATTTGACCTGGTTGGAATAAGTTCTCTTGCATTGAGCAGGGGATTGGATTAGACCTCCAAGGTGCCTTCCAACCCTATGACTCTATGATCTTTGTGTTCCTTGTTATTCAATACTCTCTCCAGATCTTTAAACGTGTCTTTTCCAATATTTGAAACTTGGTCCTTTGAAGTGAAAACAGCAAAGTTTGAATGCCTAGCTTTTACCACTGAACTACCTTGTCTTGCATAGATGTTTCCTCTGGCATTCTCTTCCTGTTTTTCCCCACTTCGATTAATAATATGTTTTATTATCACACCGTGGGAGGTAAAGGGAAGGTACAGTATCTGCATTGCTATGTGTCAATTCAGCAGTGACGGTTGTAACACTGAGGTTTTTTTTTTTTTAAACTTATAGTAAATGACACAGAGAGAAGGGTGTCTGTTCTATATCTAGTCTTTCCCCCTGATTCATCTACTTTTTTCGAAGTAGCATGAGAAGCTCCTTCAGGCATTTTGCTTAGAAAGAAAGATAAGGCTTCGTTCTTCTGTGAGATCCACTGATCTCATTTGAATTCCTTTTTACCTAAGAGAGGGATTGGTTCTTCCACCCATAATATATAAGCAATAAATCAACAGCAGCCGGCTTGTTGGAAAAAAATGCTTTGAAGGGCAAAATAAATAGTCACAATGAAACATTATTTAAGGCACAGTTTATCCCAAAATGTTATTAAAGGCAATGTTTGCTGTAGTTTATCACAACTGCAGCTTGCTGAGGGGCATCCCAGGTGCAAGATTTCTGTTTTATAATTTTTATTTTTACCGTTCTATGATTGTGTGTGTGTGTGTGTGTGTGTGTATGTAATGTATGTATGTTGTGTTGTTGTGGTTAAGATGGGTGGCCATATACATCTTTTAAATAAATAAATTTCCGCACACTGATCTTCTGTTGAGACATTTCCTTGTTTGTTGATTCTTTGTCATCCATTGGAATCATCTCCAAGGTATTCACATTTGTGTATTCTTTACATTTCTGCAATGTCTAGGGAGATTCTCAATCATTCAGGTCATGGCTGTCCCAAAGGTCTTTCTCCAAAAGGCAACTCGACTTTCTTGGTTGGTTTCTTTGAAAAAGTTTTGCTTCTCATCCAAGAAGCTTCTTCAGTTCTTGGATTGTTTCTCTGAAAACTTTTCACTTCTCATCCAAGAAGCTTCTTCAGTTCTGAACCGAAGAAGCTTCTTGGATGAAATCGTTTTCAAAGGAAGAAAAAAACCTAGGAAAGTCTAATTGCCTTTTGGAGAAAGCGCCATTGTGACAAGAACCATTGACCCCAGTCTTGAGACTGGTTGTTTGTCAGAATCTCCCATGAGGTCCATTTGGGTTGTCAAATTCATCAGCTAGCTAAGCGCCAAACATTTTCAGTGATGAAATCAACTCCACCTTAAAAAAAAAAGCAACCACATGATCTGCAACTTTGTCTTAACAAGCCTTATAATTTGCTTTGGGAATGCAGTTCCCGTTTTCTGGTTATGTCAACAGATTTTCATCACTTTCCCTGGGTAGGCCATGAAAGGCTGCGATAATTGTTACACCAGGGAGATATGGTAATGCTTTAAAGAGTCTGCTTAATGCATTCATTTGCTAAAGGGTAAGTTTCTGTACCAGCAATTCAA